ACACTTTCCTAGTAGAAATATTTTATTGTGTCAGTATTATGAAGTGCAATTCTTTTGATAAATAATGTTTATAGCGGTGGCAATTATACATATGTATGGGTGAGGTGGGGTGGCTGGCCTGACTTACTTCTCTTCTGTTTCTATAGGATCCTGTATTTCCCCTGTTATTTCCTTCTTTCCCTTCACTGTCATGTCTTTAAGGGACACTATCCCCTTGTCAATGTGGTTGATTCTCCCTCAGAAGCAGTAATTAGCTGAAGCTGCACCTCGGCCCTCCTTCATATTCAAGCCCCTTCCTAATAGCCAGTGGTAAAACCTACCAAGACCTAGGCTATGTTCAGAATTTTGGCACTTTATGTTTGGCATTTTCTCTCAGGGCTTCATTTTGCATATGTGTTGTTTAATCATTCAGTCCCTTTTCTCTTTTTCAAAGATTCTTTGAAAGCCTTGCCTCTCCTACTCTCAGCCTCCAGAGTCTTATAGCAGTGGCAGAATCTTTGTTGCAATCTGGTACTTATTAATTTTCTGGTAATTTCATGGTTGTGGTATCATCTGTCTCTTAGTATTATTAAAGTTATGAATCGTGTTATTTTATTTGTACTACTCATATATATATATGTAGCATATATATATTTTAAAGATGTGTGGAGAGATTCTGGCTCAGACCTTTGATGTTATCCTCTAGACCCAAGCATAATTTATCTCTGTTATTTCTTATTAGAGACTTATCTCTGTTACCTTTTGTTAATAGGAATTTCTCTGTTGATAAGCAGCTCCAATTCATTCATTTTCTTGCTTCCTAGTAGTCTATTAATGTTACAATTTATTTATCCATTTTCTTATTGATGGCCATTTACATTGTATTTAATATTTCACTGTTACAAAAAAGTGCTGCAAAGAACATACTTGTGTATATTTCTTTGTTCACACATGCAAGCCTTTCTTTAGGGTATGTACCTGTTTCTGAAAAGTGCTGGGTCATAGAATATGTGAATCCTTACTTTTACAAGATATTGCCTAATTGCTCTCGGAAATTGTTGTAATAATTTACAGTTCTAGCAGTGTTAGAGAACCGATTTTTCTACATCTTTTAATTATTTTTATCAAGATTTACATTTTGACAATCTGATGCATGTGATGTATTATCTTGTTTTAACTTGCTTTGGTGACTAGTGCAGGTTTGGTTTATCTTTTCATGTTCTTTCCCCATTTTTCGATTGGTTGTCCTGTCTTACATGATTTTAGTTGTTTGTATATTCTAGCTAAGAATACTTTTAAAATTCTGTATTTTGTAAATACAGTTAACCCTTGAACAACATGGGTTTGAATTGCTTTGATTCACATATATATTGCAAAATTTTGTGGAGATTTTAGGACAATTAAAAATTTCTCTAGCTTATTTTATTACAAGATACAGTATATAATACATATGACATACAAAATATGTGTTAATTGGATGTTTATATTATTGATAAAGCTTCTAGTAAATACTTGACTATTAGTAAAGGTTTTGAGGTATCAAAGTTATACATGGATTTTCAACTGCACAGGGAGTTGGTGCCCCTAGCACCTTTATTGTTCATGCATCATCTGTATTTTCCAACTTTATGCCTTATCTTTGCTTAGTTATATAGTTTTTAAATTATAACATTGTCATATCTATCAAATTTTCCCATTAACATTTATATTTTTTATATAATGTTTTGTGAAATCCTCTGACAACCAAAGTTATGGACATAGGCTTCTGTATTTTATTTTCAACATACAGTATTTTGCCTTTTACATTTACATTCTTATTTATGTGGAGTTTATTTTGTGTATAATGCCAGGTTACAAGTTTTTTCCTTTGTGGATGGTAAATCGGCTTACCTCTAATCACATCCTCCCTTAGTAGCATTTTTTCTTGTCAAACCAGACTACTAATTGCATTCACTCTTCTTGGAATATGCCAAAAGTGTGCTTTTGTGCTCTTGTTCTCTCCACAAGCTGTGTTCTCTTCCTGTCGTTTTTCCTTACTAACTTGTAAACTTCCTTTTGAAAAGATATTGTCCAATTCTTCTTTGCCTCCTCAATACTTAGCATTGATTGAGTAGGATTTCAAATACTCACCAACTTTATTCTGAAGTTAATCCTTACAGGTGGGAACTTCTTTCATAAATATGTATGTAGGTTTTCACTCAGAAAGAAAAAAATTCTTTTTTTTTTTTTTACTACCTTCCCAACCAAAACATGCCCAGTGATTCTAAGTCTCTTAAATTTTTAAACAGAACTTTCAAAATACTTTTAATGGCTAGGAACCAAAGCCATCATTTCTGCTCCTGTTCGCAGGTCAGATGAACGTGGTTGGTGCTACCAGCATTAGCAGGTACTGCCCTTTTGCAGGAGATGCCAGGAGGTGACCCCTCCTTGACCTAGTTCTGAGGTGAGGGGTTGGGCCTCCGACCGTGTTCACAGTTGTCTTCCTTCCCTTGTCTTTCTTTTGTTTCCTTCTGATGCCTTGACCCTGAAAACAAACAGCAGGATGTGGAATGTGGAAATTCCCTCCGAAGTTAGCCTGTTCTCACGTCGAAGTGTCAAGCGCGGCTCTCAGGGCTCTTAAAGACAACCGGCCTTTCATGTAGGAGCTTCAGGGGGCGCAAAGTTCTCGGGCAACTTCCAGAATCTCTCAGCAGGCTCCCTTGCTGCCTGGTTACCAGATTCGGTCCGGCCGGGACCCAGAAGTTCCCCTTCGACAGCCTGGGGTGGGCGTGCCAGCTTAGTGCCAACGACTGAAGGAAGGTCTCGTCGCTGTATTCGTTGGTAGGGAAGATTCCGGAGACGCAGACACCACCTCGTGCCCATCTAGCCCTTTCCCGGGTCTCAGCGGGGCCGCCGCAGAGCGGCAGTTTAGGGGCGGGGCGAGACCCAGCGCTGGCGGCGCGATGGGGCGGGTGAGGCCCCGGCGGCCCCTGAGCCTTCCACCCCTGCACTACGTTTCCCACAGGCCTCCGCGTCGGCGCACCACCCCCGCCCCCGCGCTCCCTGCGGCCGCCGCCGCGTCTCCTGGCGACCTGTCTGTCTGTTGTGCCTTTGAAAGACGGCGGGAGGCTGCAGCGCCATGGCGATCCTGGGCCGCCTTCTGTGCATGCTGGGCTTGCTCCTGTGCGGGGCGGCGAGCCCCCTGCCGTCGGCTCCCCACGCCACCACCACCAAGAAGCCCATCATCGGTAAGAAGGTCGGGTGGGACCAGGGGCCGGGGCCGGGTGTCTGCGCTGGGCGCTGCCCGCTGCCGGGCGTCCGCTGGTGCGTGCCTCCTTGCAAATACCCAAGTACAGGGTGTGGGACAAGAGCTGAGCCAAGACACCCTTTGGATCGAATGCCTCTGTCTCCTCACATTCAAATGACTCTGAAAGTTGGAAGGGAGGAGGGTGCACTGTGAAGAATCCTGTGAATTTTCTTCTTTGTAAGTAGCTAGGGATTTCTATTAATGAAACATTGTGTAACTTTTCACTGGCTGAGGGCCTGTTTCAAAATACAATGTGTAATACATGTGAGAATCGGATTGACAAGATAATCAAGACATGATGGTACGCCTGGACTTGGCCGTCTTCAAGCAGCACAGGGCAGCCGCGGCTCCTGTGATCCTAATGTGAATACTATTGGGTGTTAAAGCGAAGCATGTAATTTTTTGTTTCCAACAAATTTGTGTTTTAAAAAGAGTAAAGTCCGTTTGCACTGCCAGAACAGACACTTGATCAAGGCAGGGAACCAGGAAAAATCAACCTAGAATTAAATTTTGCCAAAAATAATTTATGTCGGATAATTAGGATTGATTTTATCTCTAGTATTATGTCATTTACAGTGTTTTTTATTCCTTTCACAAAGAAAAGCACTGTATTCTGTAACTAAATAGAAAGTAGACAGGCATTTTTTTCGTATTGGTAGTGTCCAGTTTTTAAATGGGTTGTATATCAATATTTGGGACTTGGAATGCCTTATTCATAGCTATTTAAAATGGTGGTTAGATTCTCCAAGGAGAATTAACTGGAAATATAATTCCATGTGGAGTGATTGGAATTGTGGGTGCAGGGAGGAGGAAACAAGGAAAGAAGTGGAGGGGGTTCTTTTCCCTTTCTGAGAGGGTGGTCAGCCAGGGTCAAATACAAAGAAAAGGAGTAGGCTTTTATGCTAAGATCAGTTAAGATGACATAGTTAACTGAGTGTCCAGTGTGTGCAAGGCATTGATTTAGGAAGGGCAGAGGATTCAAAGATGAGGAAGTCACAGAAGTTGTGAGATGGCCTTAAAGTATTGGGGGCCTTTCGGTCACATTTTGAGGTGCCGGGAATACAGCCTGCACTTTTTTCTCCATGGATGGGAAAAGTGAGTATGGAGTGGGAAGAGAGGTTGGTGGAACTTCACCTACTCTAAAGTACTTTTCTCCTTTCTGGTACTTGTGTTCACATACCCCAGGCCCTCCTTTGTGGCACCTCACCCTTACCTGCCTTCTACTACTCTATTTCCTATGATACTCCCAACCCTTTCTCTACCAAATTTCATTTTCTTCAGTGAAGAGGTCTTACCTTTCCAGGAGGAGAAAAACAGTCTGACTGTTTTTGACTGACAGATTTTGGGTTTTGGTGTATATTAGTTGAGTGCCTGATAAATCCAGTTATTTGTAAGAAGCTGGAAATACAGAAGTGATTGGTGTAGACAGCAGCAGGTGGCCTTCAGAAATACTGAAGGTGTTCCAGGTGGTGAAGTAGTGAATGATACTGGCGTGGTGTATTGTACAGACTGCTTATTAGATGCCAGTGCTGTGCTGGGGCTGAGGTTTCAGCGGTAAGAGGTAGAAAGGTAAGTGGGGCAGAGCACACAGGGTTTTGTAGAGTTTATGAGGTTAGGAACCTATTGAAGTGTTTAAGCCAGGAGGCATGTCCTGCTGATTGGCTACCAGTCTGATCCCATTCCCTATTGCTTTCTTCCCTTGCTCAACTCAGGGCTCTAGTCGTATATCCTCCTTGCAATGTAGCAGGCATGCACCTGACTCAGGGCCTTTGCACATGCTGTTGCTTCACCTTGGATCCCTCTTCCTCCAGTAATCTGCATATGGCTTACTCCCTCACCTCTCTGAAATTCTGGCCCAAATGTCATACTCTACCTTCTCAGGGAGACTCTTTTGCCCCTTGTACACACCCTGTACCCACCCACCTTGCCACCACACACACACACCTTCTCCCTCTGCTATACTTTTTTTCTCCTTAGCACTTAAGCACCCACTATCACACAGTAGCTATTTACCTTTTTGTCTCGTTTACTGTTTGTCCTTTCTCCCCTCCCTCCAACACACTATAATTAAAGCCCATAGAGAAGGGCTTTTTGTTTGTTTTGTTCACTCATGTGTTCCCAGCACCTAGTTCAGTGCCTGATATGTAGTATGATTCAACAGTATATACTGAATGAATGAACAGTGATGTGATCAGATTTATTTCCATGTGGAGAACTGGTTGGAGTTGGTGTGGGTTATTTAAGAAAGGACATAGACCTTTCAAGAGCCTAGTCTAACAGTCCACGATTAGGGAGGCAAGTTTGGTTGTTTGAATTAAGGTAGTATTGGTGATGTTGGAGAGATGTAGATAGAAGATATTTCAACTGTTGCTTTGTTGTCAAGGAGACATTATGTCTTTCAGTGTGTGTGGGAAGGGAGAGGTCTTCTTATATATTTAAAGATCTGTTCTCTGGGATCGATTGGAGGTTGTTTGAAGGAAGCTGGTGCCATTGTAAGTCTACTTTGGGGACTTACTTGGCCTTCCTGATGAGGTGAGAGAGAGGAGGTTACTTAAAACTCAGTTCAGCCTCCACTATTCCTGTCCCAAATCCTGTGGATGTACTTGCAGGAGAAGCTTCATATTTAATTCTGAGAATTTAAAGAGTAAAGTAGTGATATTTTTACTATGATGTGTTTCAATGTCTGAGCAAGAAAAAAGGAAATTGCATGAATGTAAAACTTTTTTTTGTCATTTAGGAGTATTAATGCAAAAGTGCCGTAGTAAAAACATGCAAAGCCTGGGAAAATACTATATTGCTGCATCTTATGTAAAGTATCTGGAGTCCGCAGGTGCAAGAGTTGTACCAGTAAGGTATGATTCAATATTTTTTACATTATATAAATAAAAATTGTGTTATCTCTAAAATCATCTTTTATCTTCATTGCTTTCTTTCCTATGATTGCATCATTTAAATGTGGTAATACTGCATCTGATTTTTGCCATAAACTCTTAATGCTTAGAGTTTCTCATTCAGTTGTTTAAAGTATGAAGTCATGTATATCTATACTGTCGTTAGAGGCATCTCATGTGTGTTAGAGATTAAAATGATAGTTTCTTTTCCACCAGAAAGGGTGGTCCTCACCGGACATCATAAAAGTAATCAAGTAACAGAATCTACAACTTAATCAGCTTTATTTCATAATATCAGGATAAGGGAATACTTAGGGGATGAGGAGAATTTTTAGAAGATGACTTTTAAATTATCTTCCCTCTCTAGAAGTTTGTAAATGACCAATACAGCAGTGCTGCTTCAGTATAAATTGCAGATGTTGCATTTTTAAAAGAGCTACATTATTTTTGTGATAAAATGGCCTAGTAAGTATAAAATGATTCATGTCATGTTTTGATTTGGAAAGAATGGATTTTGTTTAACAAACAAAACCTTGTAAATATTTATAATATCTTATCATCCAAAATTAGTCTATTTTAGAATCTTCCAGCATCCCCTTCTAATCTACTATAAGTGACTTCACACACAAAACACAACTCTTTGCTCTGGGCAACCTGTTTGTTTAAGTAATTCCACATTAAAAAACTATAACAAAGAAAAGTACTATTCAAATGCAACAGTAATAATAAAAATGCAAATATTGTAATTTAGGGAATTGTACCACAAAATGGTTTTATGATTGCCTTCATTAAGTTTTTGGTCTTGTTTAATCTTTGACATCTCCCTTTACCCCAAGAAGAACATTTGCTTTAGACATCAGTCTAATTTTTTAGTAGCAGGTGTAATTTTTCAAATCAAATCTTATCTGAAACCCAGATAACAACCAACTTTTAAAGCTGAGGAGGAGGCTGCAGAGAGCCTTCAGAACCATGTGTCAAAGTTTTGATCATGGAAGCTCTTTTTGCAAGGTGTCCTTTTAGGGCATTAGTGCTGATACCATGGATTGGAGGTTGGCAAGACAAAAGGCAGGTAGACCAGTTCTGAGACTGGTGCAGTAGGGTAGGTGTGGAGTTTTGAGGGTGTGGTCTAGAGTAGTGGCTGTAAGATTGATAGGTAAATGTTCTTAAAAAATATGAACAAGACTTGATGACTAATAAAATGAAAGACAGGGAGGAATAGATAGAATGACAGAAGTTTTGAAACTGGGAAGTTTTGAAACTGGGAGCCTTGCAGAATACTGCTGTTTATGACAGTCACTGAAAACAGGACTGTCAGCATACTGGTTAATTTCCAGCTTGGGTTCCCTCAGTTCATTTTAAGGTATATTGCTTAGAATTAGAATCATATGATTCTGTAAAAACAGTGTATTACATGGTGGCTAAGTTCCCAGAGTCGCCTGCACAGAATGGCCTGATGTAGAATGAGACTGAAACAGTCACTCTGCTAGTGTTGGATTGTATGACCACAAGTCTGATCACACACCCAAGTGGGTGAGTTGTGATGCGGAAGTGCTCAAGAGACCAAAGGAAAGGCCTGGAGATGCCATGTGAGACTTGTGGGTTTACTGGGTCTTACGCACAGGGAGTCCTGGAGCACTGGCTAGACGAGGCTGTGCACCATCATCGTGTACAGAGAGGGACCTGCTTACATGCGGGAGGAGACAGAGATGACATGTGCCAGAGCGAGTGCGTGATTTATGACTATACTACGTGTTATGCTAGAAGGAATCATTCCTGTGTGACTAGTGCCCTAAGGAGTGAAACCTTCGACAGAGGGCTCTGGGCTCTGCATGCTGATAATGTGTCCATCGATAAGAGGGGCTGGATGTGGCAAACCCCAGGCCATCAAATACCTAGCATACTTCCCAGAGGACATAGTTATTCTGGGACAAAAGGTTACAGGCAGACAGTGCTTGTCCACCCATGGGTTCATTTCTGAATTTTCGGTGTTGGGGCCAACATCTGTGTTTTAGAAGGGAAAAGGAGGATGGGAAATGAAGGCAAAATTCTGGAATAGGTAAAGAAGTTTGTCTTTGGTCTGTTTCTGTGTCCTTGCTCCTGCCTTCTCTCTCAGGCGCTGGTGCTCTCAGGTTCTCATGGATTCCCTCTGTGGGATTACTGGAACCTCCAGAGTGTCTTCCTCCTGAGAGGTAGCATGTGGCTGCTATTGGTTTAAAGATATGTTTCATTCCCAGTATATTACAAATCAGAAGATTTCACTAAAGTGAATTTATTTTTGAGCACAAATATCTGGAGCAAATTGTAAATGAAGCAAGTGCTCTTCTCAGTGGGTAACAATGTCTGTCACTCCTTTTCATGCTGCGGAAGCTGTGTCATTTGTCATCATTACCAGGCTTAAGCTGTTTTCCTCTAGTTAAAGAGAGCGAACTCTTCCTCATACACTACTGAGAGGGCCTTCTGTTTCATGAAGTCTGACAACATGCAAGTGACATTCAGCCTGTTTTCCCTGCCAGGCCTCTGAGGCACTTGAGTTCTTTTTCCCTATCCCCCAGCAATTAAGCTCCTTAATAATGATAAGCAGGGCCCCAAAATTCAGTCATGGACAATGTGGGAGTCCTCTACATAGAAGGAATGAAATGACTAAAACTAGCCTGCAGGGCTGGCTAGTAGGAGTACTGGGAGTGCCGCTCAGTGATCTCCATCCATTCTGGTTCCTGGTGGTGGTGATTGCCCATCCTGGTTTAAATATTCATATGGGAGATTCTGGGTCTTGACTCTTTGGTTTCTTTCTGTTGGCACAGTCTGGGGAGATGGAGCTGGCAGAATACTGCATCCCAAACCAGGGCCACCTGCCCTTTTATCCCCCAGTTAAGATGGTGGTGAGCGCCATTGCAGTATCACCCACTGCTTTGTGGCTCTCTGCCAGGAGGATTATTATGAACTTCTGAACAGACCTGGACATGCAGAGTCCTTCTGGCCTTAGAGGAGAGCCCAGATGGGTTTGCTGGCAAAGCCCAGACAAGTTCTGGGCATCACAGGGGTCTTAACACAGAGAGGTGTTCTGATTCCTCCGAGACATTTTCCCTGGGGCAGAACTGGACTGTAGTTGACATTTAATCATAAACCTACTCTTTGTGGCAGGTTGAGAGGGCCATGTTATTCTCTTATAGAACCAGAACACTGGTGAATGTAGGAAAGTTCTTGCAGGAATTTCATGAACATGGTGCTTTCTTCTCTTGTTCTGGCATATTGCTGAACTTTTTGAAGAGCAAATCCATCTTACTATGACTTAATTAAAGGTCTTAGTTGCCTTAGATGAATCTCATAGATTTTCTCTGGAGAAGGGGTTAAACTCATCCATATTATGGTGGTTGTTAAGAGGCCCTTACAGGATGTTTGATGAAGGATGCTTCAGAATAACTACCTGGGCAAATCAGGCCAGTCCACAGTGATATGTAGTCTGTCCCTAGACCTGAACTCTTCTGTGTTTTGAATATCCAGTAGTATCCAAACCTTTAGAGTTGCTGGTAGGGGTGGGAGGAAGCAGGGACCTGGCATTTATATGTATTGTTTTTATCTGCCAAAGCTGCCTGTAGTTAAGACAGGCACATGACCAAATCTCTTTATATAGTGTTTACATAAAACAACTGAATGTCTTTGCATTCTTTTTATAGTTCTTGGCTAGTAGAGAAATTATTGGTGCTCAAATCTCATGGTCTTTAATATTTAGCATATTTACATGTACTTCACAGTAGTAAATTGTATTAGACCACAGAAAAACATGTTTACTTGTCTGATGAGCAAAACAAGGATATAATTAGTAGTTTGAAAAAAATGCCTCTCAGAAGGGAATGATATAATACTGTTGTATTTAAAAAGTATTTTTCATCTGACTTCTGAAAATTAATGCTGTGACTTAATTTAGAGGTTTACTTTTTTTTCTTAAGTTTTGGAAATGAATGTTTTGTAACTTTTTATTGTTTTCAGGGTTGATCTTACAAAACAAGAGTATGAAAAGCTTTTTCAATCTATTAATGGGTAAGTTGGCAGCACTGGTCTGCTTTTACAAAATTGTACATATACATATTATATGTGTATCTATGTAACTATCCTATAGTGGTATAACATTAGTTTTCTTAGTTTTTTATAGGAATTATTTTGTTGAGAGATGCAAAAGTTCTGCAGAGAGGAGAAGGCAGGAGAAGAAATAAATGTTATGTTGTAGGTACATAGAATTTTTTTTTAATGTGTGGCATAATCTTGGTTCTTTTAATACTTGTCTTAATTGTTCTGAAGCCACTTTGAATGGCATGGCATACTGCTTGTTTGGGGAATTTATAAGTCCTAAGTCTGAGGATAGTACTCAATTATTTTTCATAAGGTAATTTGAATAGAACCTGGAAAAAGTTTTCTGTCTTCTGGCTTCACTGCAAAAGATATGGTTGGTTAGCTCACAGAAGAAAACTTTTAATCATATGAAAAAATGTTCAACATAACTCATAATTAAAGGAAAGCTAATTCCAGCAATTAAAAATCATTTTAACTATCAAGCTAGGAAATATTCTAATCTTCTATGGTTAAGAGTGTGAGGAAACAAAATAATTTACAAGTTTGTCAGAGGTAAATATCAGTTATTGCTTATTATTCCAAATGAGTGTTTGTGATTTTCTTTGAAGATGAGTCTTCTTTTTTCAGTATCTGGTAATTCTTCCTTCTTAGTTACCCTAGCCTTGTTACCCCTTTAACTTCTTAGGTGCCTGCCCTACCGCAGCCAGTGGCTGCATTTGCCATTTTCTGTGTGCTTTGCTTAATTTTGGGCTCCTAGAGAACCCTTAGAGCCCTGCTGATGGCCTCCACATACTTTATTTATGTTATCATCTTTATTTAAGTTACCAATTTTGGGGGTGGTGGTTTTGGAATACCTACTGAAATTAAAAATGTACATACTCTTTGACCCAGGAATCCTTCAGAAGGAATTATATTTTACAAATATATTCCCCCCTTATGCAAAGACTGAGGTCCCTACATATGCATTTTAGTATTGTCTGAAATATCCCCAATTTAGAAGCCTATCAATAGTCTATCAGTTGGGAATTAGGTAAGTAAAACAGACTATGTGTGTATAATAGAATATTATATATCTAGGTTGAGAAATGAGGATATCTATAGATGCTGCTGTGGATCACTGTTGTTACGAGAACAGTGTGATACTGTTACATGCAAAAGCAAGGCACATGATGGTGTATATAGTACACTCCCATTTCCTTTTTATTTTAAAGTGGGGTGAAGAGATATGCATAGCTTGTGCCTATCAGGTTAGCAGAACAATTATTACTGGTGGTGGTTTCTGATGGGAGTCGGGTGGAGGGAGTCTATTTTATGATAAGGTTTTTATACAAACTTTAAAAAAATTTAAAAACTATTACTGTATTCAGAACAATTACCTGCTTTCAGTTCAGTTTGGTTCAGTAAATATTTCCTGTAAAACTTTAGTAAAACATTTACAATGCCTGTTATGTGCAGTGTACTTTGGCATGGACAAAGATAAGTCCAGGTTAGAATATATGGTAGAACCTTATTTAGGTATACCAGAAAACAAGCTGTACTCTAATAGAATTCCAGAAACACCTTTATTGAGCCCCTGTTATGCAGTAGGCCCCTTACTGTTTTGTGGGGAAACACAGAGATGAAAAGGCAGACCCTTGCTTTAAAGGAATTTGTCAATTGGGAGGGACAGCTAAGTGTTATTTGATGAAAGCAATTTAGGGTTAAACATACCATATATGACCAGTGACAGCTTTCTACATAGTAGAAGAAAAGGGGAACTACTAATGAGTCTTCCTTAAGGTACTTTTAATTGTAGGGTTTTCTGCATTGTGGCAGATGTTCTATTTCACAGTTTATGTTTTCTATTAGACTGTGGGCTTACCAAGAGCAAAAATTATTCACCTTTGTCTCTATAGGTTCCTACAAGGAACTGAATATCTTTATTAGAAGAACAATATTAGCAAAGTGGTATTTCACATATTTTGTATTCATACTTAAATGTTTTCAAAATTTTAGTACACTTAATTCAATTTTTATAATCTCTTTTGAATTTCCTTAGTTATTTTAATACCTGTTACAAATTCTTAAATTTAAAGTTAATTTCAAAGGTGGTATAAAAACATGGTACATGTTTTTCTGTATCTCGCTTTTATGGGTAGAGGAAAAGAAAATCAAATGTTTGGTACTCTTCCCCTTTTCATCTGAAACTTTTTCTAGAATGGTAATTGTGTTCTTTTTTCAAAATTTTCTAATACCATGCTTATTTCTGAAGAGAGTTCAGGGCAATAACAAAAAATTACATAATTGTGGATATTTAATTCTAGCCTACATATATTTTTGTGACCAGTTTGTTTTCTTTATGGTTTAAAAAATTCTTTGTGAGTCAAAACTGACTCCTGATTGTGAACCCACATTTGATTTTGGCGTTGTAGATTGCCTTAATTTAAACCTAACTATACATGGAATGTTTACCTCTGCTTGATCTCCAGCTTTGCGTGTTCTCCTTCCCCTTGTCCACTTATGGACCTGTAATGTATTCACACTGTATTTTAAAAATAAACTTGTTAATCAGAGAAGTTTTGGAAGGACATGCACAAAGTGTTGTTAACTACAGTGGTTTACAAATGGGTAGGATTGTAAGTATTTTATATTCTTTTTGCCATAGTTTTCTCACTTTCTTTAATCTTGCTGCTTATATAATAAGGGAAAAGTTTGTTTTAAAATAAAAAGACTGTTTGTTTTCTATGGGGGAAGGGGTTGAAATATATCCTATTGGATGTTGTTTCAGGATCCTTTTCCCTGGAGGAAGTGTTAACCTCAGGAAGTCAGATTATGCCCGCGTAGCCAAAATATTTTACAAGCTTGCCATAGAGGTAACTACCAGTTATTGCTTATTATTCCAGATTACTTTTGTGATTTTTCCATGAGGACAAGTCTTTTTTTCAGCATATGGTAATACTTCCTTCTCAGTTACCCTCGCCTCATCACCTCTTTAACTTTTGAGGTACGTGCCCGCTGGCGGCTGGTGGCAGCTTTTGCCCATTTTCTGTGTGCTTCACTTAATTCTGGGTTTCCAGGTAACCCTCAGAGCCCTGCCGACTGGCCCTCTCAGTGCTCACCAATGAGAATCAGGTCCTCCTGGTGGCTTAGTGAGCTATTTTCATTATGTACTGGGCATTGTTCATATGTTAGTAATTCTCATCGCTTGAAAGCTCGTTTTCATCCTGACTCATTCAATCCCATTTAACTTTTCTTCACAGAAATCTTAGACTCCATGTTCAGGTACCAAGCAGAGCCTCTTGACTCCTTTGTAATGTCTCTCACTGAGCCTGCCTTTGCACTGTAGCTGAGACTCTGACTATTTCTCCCCTGGACTATTAACAGCAATTTTCTAATTAATCTTGCTGGCCCCATATCTCCCTTACAACCCACTACCCCTTAAATACTTCCCCAAAGAACTGCCTTTAGCATATGAGATACTTGTTTGAAAACTTTTAATGGCTAGGCTAAATAACTTGTAGCCTTTTAGAAAGTCTTTGGGTCAAGACATGTGTGCCCACACTCACCTTTTCCAGCCTTTGCTGATGCAAGTAATTGAAGCCAGGTTAGTATTTCTAGCACATACTCTGTGTCCTCTTATTTTAAATCAGTGTACTCTGTTTCCTTCCTCCCCAACCCTGATACATGCCTTGGCCGTCTTTCCAGGCCGAGGTGCTGCTCTCCTGTGTAGAAGCCTCTCTGCCTCCTCCAGCTGCAGTGGCATCCTAACCTCTCTTAACTTTTAGAGTATTTTGCATAGAATTGTTCAAACATTAAGCTCCAACTCTATAATGTGGCAGGGTTCACAACCTTAAAGAGTTTATAGTTCAAAAGACAGAGTATCTTGAAGTTAGCTGTTCATGTCTCATCAGATTTCATGGTTCTGACACCCTTTAAAGTGTTCCTCATTTCATATCATTTCGTATCATGTACTGATACTGAGTACATGCTTAATGAATTTTTTTAAACTAGCGAACAAAACAGAAATTTTAAGTGACTTAATTTAAAATGTGTTTGGGGAGTATATATTAGCATTATAGTCACTCTTCCCTTTGTGTGTAGAGACTCATGCAGTTAGCTTGCTCAGTGTAAAAAAAGGAGCTATCTTACCCACAAGACTCAAGATCTATTTTTTAAAAATATAATTAGGTACTTGAAGATTTGATAACAAAAAAGCTTAGCAACAATTAATATAGTTCAGCCACTGGGGTCCACAGAGCCCTCATTGAAGAAACCCTGAGAAATTATTAGCCTGATAGATCTGTTCAGTTCCACTCTTTGTCTTTTGCTGTGCCAGGTGTGTGGAGGACCCACAGAAAATAAAAGATGTGGTCCCTGAAAGTGGGGATTTAACATTTAATTAAGAAATTAAATTTGGTACATATGGGACCAGAGAAGTTAGACCCTCTTTTGTGTTTATTATAAGTAAATGCAATAAGACCCTTCAATTTAATGTGTACAATCTTAACTTCTAAAAGTAAAATTTGCAGACATGTATATAAAGTTTTAAAATCCTAACTTGGGGTAGAAAGTATAAGAATTCACATAATTCTATGTTTCTCTCAGTGAGGAAGAGAGAAAAAAAAACCCTAACAATTTCCTCACTTAAAATAAATGACTATTAGGTTCTATTTTGCAGCCTGTACAAGAAAACTGCTAATTTAGAAAGTAACAAAACTCATTTTTGAAACTATTAACACATATGGGTTTAAACTTTAGTTAACTAGAAAATTCAGGTGCTAGAATACTTTCTCCGCAGTCATGTTAGTTGTTGTGATTCCCTTTGAAGAAACCCAGTACATTTGTACTTTTCTAATTGACAGTTTTTGCTCTGAAAATTTTACTTTTGTGTAGCATCTTCCTTATTGTACTTTTTTTCCAGATCATGGGTTTTACCTGATTTAAATCCAGTTAGCTAAAGGTAGAATAATACAGCTATTCCTGTAAATTCTGAGATAATGAAGGAAGACTTTAGAGTGGGTTCAAAACTAAATAATCGTCCTAAGCAACAAAATTTATAGATGTATAAATAGCATTATCTTTGATATTTACAGTCCCTAATTGTACCTTATGTTGTTTGGTAGTTGACTGGCAGATGTCAGTCTCTTTCCCAGCACAACTGATGTTGGATAGTTTAGTTAATTAAAGCTGAATTATTATGTGGGAGCTTGATTTGAAGAGAGATGAAGTGGTAGCCTACTTATGGATCCTGGAAAATTATTAGAAATCCATGCATACGTAGCTCAGGTGCCTGCCTTGTAATGACAAACCTAAAAAATGTGTACTTTTTGTTCTGAGAAGTTTGAATAAGCTTACATTTCTCTTTCACTCTTCAAAGGGTTTTGATAATGGAGATTATTTTCCTGTATGGGGCACATGCCTTGGATTTGAAGAGCTTTCATATCTGATTAGTGGAGAGTGCTTATTAACTCACACAAATACTACTGAAATTACACTGCCTCTGAACTTCACTGGAGGTAAGAATTCTGTCTTCAACTCTTTTAACTGGGATGGATTAGTAAGTAGCAAATATCAAAGTAAGAAATACTTGTAACATTTATTAATTTTGAAATTATTTACACAGACTGAGGATGTGAGTAACCACTTTTGTACTGAGTTACAAAGATGGCTTAAAGAACTTTGAATTTCGATAATTCATTGCTGCTAATGATATCAGTCCCATGCATGATTAAGACCTGTAAAATCATACCTGGTTTTGAGTCCTTGCTTTGCCGTTTTTGCCTTGGGAAATCATTAAACTTCCTTCAGCGTTAAAGTGCTAAGCACTTTAAATACAACTCTCATATGTGTTAGCTATTGTTATTATAATACAACATTTTCCCTTGGCTCTGTACCTTTTTCAGCCCCAGCTGGGATGTACTGTGGTTCATTTCTGTCACTGACCACCTGGAGTCAGCACGGACTCCACAGTTAAAGGTCAGCTCCTCAACTAGACTGCCCTTGTTTCAGATACCAGCCGTGAGTCATGTCCCGGGTCACCCATACTTCTGACCAATTGCTCACAAATTTGTGGATTCCAGTACCCACTGAGGTTCAATAATCCATTAAAATGACTCAGAGAACTCAGGAGAGTGCTGTGCTTGCAATAACAGTTTTATTATAAAGGACATACATAGGATGAGGTCTGGGAGGGAATTCCTTGCCCTCTCCCTGTTGAGACCTCCCATGCCCTCTCCCTGTTGAGTCAGGGCACACCGTCCTCTTGGCATGTCCATATGTGCACCAACTGGGAAGCTCCAGTGAGCACCAGTGTCCAGTGCTTTTAGTAGGATTTCACTGCAGAGGCATGATTGATTAAATCACTGGCCACGTGATTGAACTCAATCTCCAGTCCTCCTCCAGAACCCTTGGAGGTCAGGCTGGCTCAAAGTTCTAACCTACTCTAATCATGTGGTTAGTCTTCCTGATGACCAGCCTCATCTTGAAGCTAATAGGGGCCTACCATGAGCCACCTCATTAGCATTACAAACCACTTCTATCACTCAGGAAATCCAAGGGTTTTTGAAGCTCATGTCAGAAACCCACACAAAGATCAGACAAATTCCTTACTGTATCACTCTGTACATAGATAATGATTCTTGTAGGTTACTTGATCTATGAACCCTTAGAATTGAATGCTACCCACTATTCTCATAAGGATTTTGGATGTAAAGTTAGTACTTGTTATGTATAGAACCTATAGAATGAGATATACTTTTCTTTTCTTTTTTTGAATGTGCTATACTTTTCAAAGTTCTTTCTCACATTACCTCAATCATTGCAAGAACCCTGTGAGAAGTATATTCTTAGCTTAGTCTCTTCTAGTTGCATGTGGTAAAAACCCAGTGTATACAAAAAAGGAATAAAATCCACTGACGTAAGGTACTTCAGTGAATTTTTTCATTATTTGAGGCACTGGGGTTTGCATGGAAATCATTACCATCGTCTTATGAGGGGCATCATTTAGGGATAGCTGACATCAGGACTTTGAACCTGTTTACAATTCTTTTTATCTTTTTGCTGGTATTTGAGTCCATGTGTCGGACTCCAGAGCTTTCAGAGAGGTACATTACTCTTTTGAGCTATTTACTGAGTAGAAATTTCTTGGCCTGGTTATTACTCTTTTCTACATTTGGTATTTTTAACCTTTCAAGTCCCAGATATCTTTGAAAATATGTTGAAAGTTCTAGATCCTTTCCTGAGAAAACAAATATATACATGTATGAAAATTTTTATCTGTTTTTCAGCTCTGTCTAGAGAACTCTAGTTAAAGTTCTGCTGCTTCTGCTATGGCTACTTTCTAATGATCATATCAGGAGAATTTTAGTTTCTCATATTAAAATTCTAGAAGAACATTTTTCTTTTCTAGAAATAAAGTACTTAAATATAGAATATACTGGAATTTTTTTTTTAACCCAGTTTGTGCTTAACTGGAATACTTCTGTGGAAACTGTTTTGCTTATCATTTAGTCATCTTATGTCCTAATAATGGCCTCTCTTTGGATGTAGATCAGTAAATTCAGTGGATTTTATTTTTTCCATGTTTAAATGATTTCTTCTGTGCTTAAATTTCAGCTGCACTGAAGAGCAGAATGTTTCAGAATTTTCCTGCTGACTTAATTCTGTCGTTAGCATTAGAACCTCTGACGGCAAATTTCCACATGTGGAGCCTCTCCATAAAGGTATCACATTAATTAAACAGTGAAGTTAATGCATTTAGATTAACTACAGTTAATTATTTGTTTTGTTTTATTTTTATACTCTAGAATTTTACAGCAAATGAAAATTTAAAGAAGTTTTTCACTATATTAACAACAAATAGAGATGACAAGATTGAGTTTATCTCAACAATGGAAGGTATATATCACTGTGCATATACTCCTAATTTCACTTGTCATGTTTACATTTCTTAATTTTAATTTTGTAGTTCTCTTTTTTATGAATGAAATCATGTTATTTGGGGGCCTCCAGGTGGAAATTAGGGCAGTTTTGGAGTCAGGAGACATGTTTTGTCCATGTTCCAAATCAGTCATTGTTTACCAGGGTCATCTTCTAGAATAACTTGGTGAAGAAGGAAAATAAAGACTAAGGAAGAATGAATAAAGAAATAAATGGAGAAAATAACTTATATTTCTATATTGTAAATTAAGTGCCTTGACAGATTCTGCTCCAGATGACAACAAATATAGTTGACATATAGAAAAATGTCTTTCTGAATACACTGATGAAGTGACAGGAAGGATGCTGAGGCCAAAAACCCCAAGAGTTAAGTGGAGTATTTAAACCAGCATTATTATTGAATCAGGAGGACTTGCTCAAGTTCTTTCTCTGCAGAGCAGGACTTGAAAGGCTATCCTGTCAATGAATCTCACCCAGTGCACTGCAGGGAGAATTGCCCATCTTGAGTCTTGGCACTGAGGAAGTATGGATGGTGAATAAGCCTTTAGCATTCCTGGGAACAAGCTGATCTAGTGTGGCCTGCATTATACTAACCAGGAAGTTGGACCGGCCTCAAGTCAACAGTTTTGTTTAACATTGTCTCAGACTGATAGTGTCCCAACAGGCAGGGCAGATACAAATACAAAATAATTCCCTCTGGAGGAAACTAATTTATCCAGACTTCAAAGAATTTCCGTATTATGAAGTTTTAAGGAAAATAAGCTATTCATGAGGAAATTGAACAATAAAGAAAGTGAGCAGATCATAGCCAAAAAATCACTAATTCACAAAGAAGCAAAATACCACAAATGAGGACTTGCAGAAACAATAGGCAGTTTTTGAGTTGACGAGGCTGGTTAGTGCTACTTGAGAGGCCAGGGTGCCAGAGTGGAATAAACTGGAGTAAAGTGGAAGTAGTTTGTGTTGTTTAAGGATTGGCCATATCACTGTCTCACCCATGGGAGGAGGTCCAATGTCTAAGGGTTTAGAAACAATATCCAGGGAATTCTGGGAAGGTTGATCAGTAAGATCTGAAGTGAATTTATGTCTTCTTTTCAACTACTGCCCCCTCTGTTTTTGACTCGAGCACTGCCACACCATTACGACAGTATTACTACCATTCTCAAAATCACCCAAAGCCAGAAACCTGGCAACTGCCCTTGTCTTGCTGCTTTCATTCTCCATATCTAAAAAATTCATGCTGCTTTCCACTTCCCAAATCCATCTTGACTCCATTATCTCCTCTGTCTCCAGCTTGTCCCCGTCCTACTTCAGCATTACACCTGCCACCAGGATTTCTGTAGTAGGCCCTGGCTGTTCCGCAAGTCTGCCTTCCAGCTGGCCCCTGGTGAGGCCTCTGAGTACCACCAGTCTGGCCATACTGCTTGAGGAGAACTCCTCAGAGGCTGTGCAGCACTTGGACCATAAGTCTAGATTTACCGGACCGTTTGCTCTGTGACCTCTCCCTGCCTTTGTCACTAGCCTGTATTCCTCTGCATCCCGTTGAGCACACATGCCTTCTACACAGCACTGTTTCCCACACTGTGCTTTTTCTTGAGTTCTTTCCTGTCCTCTGAAGATTCCCTTCCTCCCCATTCCCTTCTACGAGGGACAATTAGTCTTCTTTAAAGACTGAGGTCATTGGTTGATTCCTAGCGGCTATCCCTACCCATTCCTCTCCACATCTTCGTCTGTGTACCCTCACTTTTTGTACTTACTTGCTCATATTCTATCTTTCCTCATAGACCAAGAGCTCATTGTGAGCTGGAACTGTGTCTTATTCTTCCTTGTGTTTCCATGGCTTTGTGTAAATCTCAACAGATACTGAGTGAATGACTGTTGAAATGGAAGAGTATTGGGTTGGAAGTTAGGGAATTGGGTTCCCTGTTGGTTCTTTTGCAGCTATGTCCTCATGCCAGGCTCATTTGAAAATCTTACCATCTGAACATTTTCTGATGCCTGCTAGAAAGGGACACTTGTGGTACTCTTGATAGTTTTGTTCTAATCAGTGAGTCAGGGCATGACTGCTACAGTTATCAGGAACCTGCATTGATTTTTTTAGTAATGCAGTTTACTGAAGAGTAAATCTCACTTGTTTCTGAATGTCAGTGTTTATCTTTCTCTCTCTACTTAACTATCCATCTCTCTCTCTCTTTCTCTGCATCTCCCTCTAGCTAATAAAACTTTGGTACCATTTATCACTTAAGGCATTTATTATCCCAAATAATACTTTTCACATCTCAAAGCAATCCATTAGAAGATCTGTCTTTCAGTGAACTATGTGTAACAGTTAATTTCCTAGTCATCCAGCCTGTGGGTCTCTTGCTGGTAGCTTCACATGTAGTCCCAGACAAGAGAGAAAGTGCAAAGACTTAGGCAGGTAGGGAGAAGGGCAGTGAGAGGGATGGAGTAGTGTTCAGAGCTGCAGGCCAGTAGATGAACCTCAGGAAGACTGGGATAAAATATGTTTCCTTCTTGTGAAATGATATCTAGAGGCAGAGGCTCATAGGATGTGGGAGGACAGTATTTTTTCCCCTAGATTTCTCTACTTCTCAGCTAATTATCTTCTTTTCTCTAGGTACTTTACTAAGGTAGTCAGGTTATAACTTTAAAGCAGAAATAATAGGGGGAATTTTTTTTTCAATTAAAATGAAGAAAGGCATATGTGGAGAAGAGATGAGTATATACATTTTTCAGAAGGTATATGATATACATATTCATGTTTTTAAAAAACTGTGGAATTTTTAAAACCTATATAAAAGTAGAGAAAGAAATATAATGAACCCTGGGGTACCAATCTCTAAGCTTCAACAACTATGAACACGACATATGTGACCAGTCTCGTTTAGTATTTACTGTCTTCCCATACTAGGTTATTATTTGAAATAAACACTAGTGTTTTATTTTTATATATAAAGATATTGAAGAATTCTATAAGTAATTGAACTGTATCACCAAAAATTTTTCACACCAAATTTAAACTTTAAAGAAATTGGCACCATGAAGTCATTAACCATTCCACAGACTGAGAGAACTGCATGATTTAGGCTGAGACAAACTGGCTCACATAAAAGGACACCAGAAATGCTGGCGCAGTTCATTCTCATATGAACAAACCATTATAGGAGAGGATGCAGACATGGTCTGAAGGTGGGGGCGAGGGGGCCCATCATGCAGATGCTTATTCTTAATCAAATATGCACTTCACTGTTGCACTGGATATATTCAGAGGCTCAAATATGATTTTCTAGTAAAGCAAATATTACAAATTTTGTAAGGTTGAAGATCAATGAAATATTGTACTATGAATTTTCACATTGTAAACTGAAATTATTTTGTACCTGAGAGAAGGCTCACAGTTTTACTTTGTCTGACACATTGCATTATCAAGTTAAAAAAAACTTGTAAGTAACATGTTAGACCATTCTTCTACTCAGTACTTACCAGTTTGTGTTCTTCATGCAGGACAAAAGTATCCAGTCTATGGCGTCCAGTGGCATCCAGAGAAAGCACCTTATGAGTGGGGGAAATCAAAAGGCATTTCCCATGCATCTAGTGCTGTGAAGGCTGCATTTTATTTAGCAGAGTTCTTTGTTTCTGAAGGTAATATGTGGGTATAGAATGTTATCACTCTAGTATAGTTTTGAAGGAAATTGACCTCATCTGAATTTTGTGTACTCTTTTGCTCTGTATATATTCTGTAGGTTTTAACTTTTCTAAAAATAAAATCAAATAAAAAAGCCTTGGAATTGAGATATTAGATATTCAGCTAAAACTGGGGCAGGTATTTCAGTTAATAGTATTGCATACTCTAGAATGGGCTGAATTCTAAAACGACAGCATAAAGTTTGTTGGGATTGTTTTTCTTTCTTTCTTGAATACTTTTAAAAGATTTTCCTCCAATACTCTTCTTTTCAGGAATACTTTACAACACTTATAACATTTATAACATTCTCTGAGAATTAGATGTTATTTTTCCAAGTATTGAGTATATATTCTTATCAGTCTGACTTTAAGGCCACCTGTCTGGAGGCATTGGCATGTTGGATTAAAGTGAATAAGCTTTGTCTGTTTTTTCATAATGAAAACATAGACATTTTCATGCTGTGTTATGTCTGTGGGTAAAATTGAGAATTTGATGGGAGATGCTTAAGTTTTAGTTGAGTCCTATGGATGTAAGACTGAGGTACAAATGCAGCCTGCAAGCAACAGAGCATCACGCTGTGAGGCATTTGCAGTCTCTCTCCAGGGCTGCACGTAAGCCTTTATCAACCCTCCTGCCGACACTGAGGAGGGAAGTTCTCCCTCCTCAGTTCACTCTGGTTTAGAATTTGGTCACTTGAATGGGTAGTTTCATAACAAAAACCCTAAGTTAAAAAAAGAAGTTCTCTCGTGTGCAGTGTGAGTCCCAAGGAACATTGACCCATGTGTGGAGTAAGCATGGTGAGCAACGGCAGAGCAGTTTGCTGTAGTGTTACCACAGGGTGAGGCTGTTTATTTTGTCTTCATTTTCCAATACCTTCTTTTTAAGAATCTCATAAAGGCCTGTATTTATTTTGACTGTAGGAGAAAGTCTGAGCCTTCACCCCATCACATCCCAGCTTTGGCCACGCCAGCTTCTTTGTGCCTCCTTGTTTCTCATGTTTCTGCCTTACCTGAGGGAAGTGCTTCACTTCTCCATCTGAGCTCTGCCAGTTTCTCCATCCTCTTAACTCTTGAAGCATCTCAGTGAAGAGAGACTATAACAACATTGTAATACGTGATCCTGTGTGGTTCCTACACTAGATTTCTTGAACATTAGGAAGTTGCCCAGTTTATATTTCCATCCCCAGGCCCTGCATTAAGTCTTGCACACAGTAGGCACTTAGTAAGTGTTAGAACGGAGGGAGGAGTGCATACCACATGGGATCTGGTGCAGGGCACATCTAGTTGCTGCATCACTAGGTAACTACTCTAAATCAGGGGCTGCTTTACTGGGGGGAATTTTGTAAGGTTCTCCTTTTTGGTGGTATCTTCTCAGTTAATGCTGATTCTAGGAGGAAGTGCTAAAAAGTAGATTTTCAAAAATTATATCCAATCTTTTTAAAAATTAACACTTTCTTTTTCTTGCAGCTCGGAAAAACAGTCATCACTTTGAATCTGATGTTGAAGAAGCTAAAGCACTGATTTATCAGTTCCATCCAACTTACACTGCGAACATTTCTTCATTTCAGCAAAGCTATTTATTTGATTGAAAGCCATAGATGTGTAACAGGAATTTTGAATAATGCCATATTTAAACTATTTTGCTAACTTACTGTTCATGGCAATAATAGAAAGCCAGAGATTCCTTTTCTATGATGTTGCTGGCTCTGATTCTCATTTGGTATATTTTACTCTATCACATTTGATAATCAGTGAGACAGATAAATAATTATAGTGTATTTCATTGAAAAGCTTTCTCATCTCTGAAAATTAAAAAATAAATTTATTGGAAATCCAAGTAATTTTTCTGATTGATTCTAGAAATAACTTGCACTTCCTACTCATCCATGCATCCTTGCTGAAGGCTCTTTTTAAATCCTCCTACTCGGTCACTGTGATGTCTTCCTCCTTTGAGTCTTTGGGATATTAGTAGTGTGTGCATATGTGTATGAATGTATATATACACATGTATTTCCCTTTCTGCTATTTTAACTCCTCTAAAGTGTTCAGCTCCTAAAAGCAGTTTGTGTCTTGACCTTTTTATCTCCCACAATGTCTAGCAGTGTAGGCCCTCAATAAGTACTTGTGACTAGTGGGGAATGGAACTTTCTTTTCATAGAAAATAATGTAAAATGTTATACATTTATTAGGTATGTTTTAATATATTTCTCAATCTATGCTTCCCTCTTCCCTCCCTCTTCCACCATTAACCAGCCCATATACCCTCACAAACTGAAATTTAGAAATTCTTAAATGGAGGAATTACAGGCAGTTAGAAGAGAGGATTTTGTGAGCTGTTTCTGATAGTGTTTATGCATCTGTTTCCCTTCATCCTACAGTTGTGCTGTTAGAGAGGTGGAAACCCAGGAAATCGAGTGATTGGGCAGGAAGTTAGAGAAGATGATGCAGAAGGCTAACAACAATCTGAGGTAAACCACGAGCTTTGGGCAATAAGGCCAAACACAGCAATAGACATTGAAAGAGGTTAACACATTTAGTCAGCCAAAAAGCGCTTCAATAGAAGTCTGGCAGATGTAGTCTCTGCCAATGAACACGACGATACTTTATTAAGTCTTATAATCCAGTGTGACATTTCTGGCGAATTTCATGTCTCTCACAAAGAAACTGCTATTACTCATACTACCAGGGCTCTTCCCTACCTGTTTATATTGAAATACTACAGCTCAGTTTGTCTCTGAATAATCCTCATAATAAAACCCTTAATCCTGACTGTATTGTTACTCGAGACGCTGTACCATCCATGCTTCTGCCCATGAATACTGGCTTCTAATTGCTCCTAAAGGTTTTTTTTTTTGAAGCAGAGTAAAAGTTTAAGGTTACTTAGAAAGTGCAGGTGACCTCAGAGAGAGGAACACCACACCCTAAAAGGTTGAAAAGAGGGAGTTTAAAGTTAAAAAGTTACCCACTTAGAAAGTGCAGGTGACCTCAGAGAGAGGAGCACCGCTCCTAAAGCTTTTTACTCTGCTTCATTGATGATGACCACAAATGAAAGAAAACATGAACTGTTACTTGTTTTTTATTCATATTAAGTTTTCCACTTTCCCAACCATGTATTTTTTTTCACAGTCTTTACACTGGAATTACTTTATTCCAAGAATGGAATCTCTTTCAGTGTTGACAAAAGCCCTCTCTCCAACACCCCTGCACCTGTTGGAAGACTAGACAAGAGGCCTGAAGGCAACTATGGAGAGAGGTCCCATTTGGGTAGGAATGCCAGTCCCTTGTCTAGTTTGGCGTAAGACTGACCCAGGTAGCCTGACCTGTGACAGCCATGGAGGCAGAGCAGATGTGGATTGGAAGTGCCTGTTGATGTTACTGAGAAATAGGAAAGCTCTGGGAGGAGATAGGTGGCCCCTTCTGGAAGACTGCCTGGCATGTCATGTGGAGCACGTGGAAGGAGCTTGACCACCTTGGGTGCCAGTGGCTGGATGCATGATGGCTAAAAGATGGGTGTTGCCTCCCACCTCCTTGCAGTCTATTAGCTGGATGTGACACTGTAGTTGAGTAAGAGCCAATGCTTGGGCCCACTTACGTGGCTCAAGCCAAAGGGTCAGTGGTCGATCTCTAGCCCAGATTCCTGAATTTGTCCTGTGCCCATCAGGAGATCACTTAAAACTTGAGCATGTCAGCACCATGCTGGTCACCCAATATCATAATCTCATGCAATCCTCTGAAAGAAAGACTGTGCTTACCAGGTGGCCCTACACAAAACCTGGGTCAGTCTCACAGGCATGAGTCCCAGGGCTGCTCCACACATCTGGTTGGCCCCACAAATGGAGTAGTGTTGGACAGAACTTTGAAGGAGAGAAATGTCAGGGCCTGTGCAGGTCTGGCCAGGCTCAGAATGGCCTGCCTAGATGGCTCTGCCACAGCTGGCTTGTCACCACTGGGGTTGGGGGCACTTGGGAAATGTTGAGGCAGGTGTGTCCTATGACCAGGACCAGTTCCAGGTATGGGGTACCTAGCTGAGGTAATAGCACTCTGGCCCTGACCAGTTCCAGGAAACATAAACGGGCTTAGGCAACTTTGAGGAAGGTACCTCAAAGTGTGGGGGCTCCTGATAGATAAGAGCTGGATCCATTTGCCTGAGTCTAAGGGTGATTACGGAACACTTAACCCTAGCCCTAGCCCTGGCCCGTGGAATGGACCCCTCACCATCAGTTTCAATGTCACGCCTGCCAAATTGGAAACCTGAAACACAATCTCACACTCACCCTCACATCACAGTCAGACCCTAACTCTAACCGAAACCCTATACCCACTGTACACCTTCCCAAACACCTAACCCTAGCCCTGGATCTTGGACCAGACCCATACCATCACCATTGACATCACCCATGACTTGGTGTAACACTGTAGCTCTATCTGGCTGTCGCCCTCACATCAGAGCCAGAGCCTAAATGTAACCATAACCCCATCCTGCCCTTACACCTTACTGAACGCGTAATCCTAACTCCAGCCCTGACCCTAAGACCTGACCACTCATGGTCAACATCGACATCACCCACAATTCAGGGTAAAACTGTAGCTCAATCTCGCCCACACCCTCAAATCAGAGCCAGATCCTCACTGTAACCATAACCCTATCCTGCCCGTACGCATTACCGAACACTTAACCCTAACCCTAGCCCTGGCCCCTGGACTTGAACCTCACCTTCAGTTTCAGTGTCAGTCCAGCCAAATCATAAACCTGAAACAGAATATTGCACTCACCCTCATGTCACAGCCGAATCCTAACTCTATCCGAAACCCTATCCCCGCTGTACACCTTCCTGAACACCTAACCCTAACCCTAGCCTTGGCTCCTGGATCAGACCCATACCATCACCATCGAAGTCACCCATGCCTCACTGTAACACCGTAGCTGTTGCCCTCACATCAGGACTGGAACCTAAATGTAACCATAACCCTATCCTGCCCA